GGGTATCTCCTACACTAAAAATCCCCATTACAATTGGATGGAAACATGGCTACTGGTGTCCAGTCTTCGTCCTCAAGGGTCACTGTCTTGCGTGTTTTAGATGTATCCCTTTTGTTCAGGAGGTCTTCAAGTTCCACAGAAGCCTTTTAATAGGTGGGTAAAGGCAGGGAAACATCTAAAAAATGCAGGATAGTGACCCACGAGGACCAGGTGTAATGATCCTTGTGTTTTGGTTCATCTATTTTGAGTGTTTTTGAATATTCTCTGTGTTTTATTATGTTGAAACTCTTGTGTTTAATTGTCTTGTTTTAGCTTTCCTGTGTTTAATTCATGAATTCCCCCTCAGTCAGCTCAGTCTCTAATTAGGTCTGTTTCCAATACCTCATTTCCTCTGCCACCACCACCACTCCAGCAGATCATTGTATGGTTTACACCGATGTCACTCAGTCCCTTTTGAGCTCCTCTTGTGTTTTTCTGTTTTCTGCCACGCCACATTAGTATTTTGTTTAATAAGATCAATTGTAGTTTATCCCACCATATTCCCCAYGTTGTCTGTATCTGGCACCAAACCCTACCATAACTGTGACACCAGGATTAGACACCACTGCTCTAGAGCATTTTGTTTTGGTGTGAAGTAATGCAGAAGCTACTTCACTGGTATTTTCTTTCAGGAAATGCTCTATTTTGAAGATGTTTGCAATGTCAACCTATCTTTTTCATGAGTACTCATCCAATAGATGTAGTTGTTCTTAATGTTTGTATTCCAGTATTGACACAGTAGGACAAAAATGATTAAGGATGTATTGTTTTTACTATAACCCAACATTTAGACAGTGTTAAGGAATTACAGGTTTAATACTGTTTAAGTTATTACCAGCATTAAATAAGGTGAATAAAAAGCCATGGGGATGTTTAGGAATGAAAACAGTCTCATAATTCATTTTTCTCAGATATGTGGGCGTCAGATTGAATTTTTTAATTTCGACTTTAATAAGTTGTTYCCTCAACCCAATCTCTGCGGACAGCTTGGCAAGTTTTTATTTTAATTAAGAAAACGTTTGAATAAATTATTATAATAAACATGTGTCTGCTTCAGAAATTAACRTAAAATGAAAGCTTAAGAGTACTGCATAAAACCACAGTCCTGTGTTCTTATTATGGTATAAAATAGAAGCTCTGTTTATGCTGCATGCGTGCTTAATGCTAAAGCAATGTATTTTTTAAAACTTTTTGCTAATATTTTTGTGTCCTTTTTGATTTGACTTTCCTTATTTTTCCACTCACCTCTCCTCTGCAGGTGATTTTTGTCAGACTCTTATCGACTCCCTGCAGGGCACACCTAGTCTGCGCTACATTTGGAGCACCTTCAGACCATTACTTCGAGGGAAGGTCCTGTACGCGCCTGATACACCTGCCGCTCGCCTTCTGGTCAAAGAAGTAGGTTAAAAAAACATGTATATAGATATATCAATAATGTTTTGCTCACAGGGGTGTGTGCCACAAATGTGGTTGGTCAGAACTTTTTGAACATGTTTATGCCACAAAGCGAGTGCAATTCTCTTGCTTTGCTTTAACTACTCCGCTGAGGAGCGGCTGGCTCAGGCTGTTAGAAAATRCAGCTATCGTTACAACTGTAGCAAGTTGCTAATATCCARCGCAGCCAGGAGCCCCTTCGGCAGAGGAATTGAAAATTCATGTAATTCAAAAGCGACAGTGGTGTACAAATACAAAACATTATTATTATTGTACAAAACTTTATTATTATCAACCACCATGAAAAGACTAGCCTTTAGCTTGCCCGTCCAGTCAGAAATTACCTTTATTTCTACAAACTGAAGTTGTTCAGGACTATCTATAAGCCGTAAGATATAAATTTTCCATAACCTTTCCACAGAACATCACTTCAAAAGATCTGATCGGATGCTTTAATGCATTTTTATTTTATGACACAATAAATCTGCGGGAGCTCAGTATCYTCCAAGCTAAAATAAACCATGGAAGATTTTCCGTTGCAATTACATAATGAGGTTGAGCACAACCTGCCGGCGTCACAGCACGAGGCCCGCTGTTCTGCTCTTCGCAACCAACACAGATTGTTTACAAGTCCGTGTTCAGGAGTAAATAACCCCATTTACATTCATCAGGGAGAAGGAGGAAGAGCGYCGGGGTGGGAGGTAGCAGAGTAACGATGTCAGAGAGTGAAGATGTAAAGGACTTTAATGCCTGTTCTGCCTCAGCAGGAGCAGAAAACTCTGTGTTTTCTGTCAGGAGAGGAGGGGTAGAATTATTGACTTCTAAAGATTCTTGTGTTTTTGTTTGTTTCAGGCGAATAGCACATTCAACTCCCTGGCTATGCTAAAAGAGCTCGCAGATTCATGGGATGAACTCGGGCCACGTGTTTGGAACTTCATGCAAAACAGCCCTCAAGTCAACACCTTCCGGGTAAAACTCAAGAAAATGATCCAAATCACTGTTTCTTTTATTGTTTTATTTTCATTTTCTTTCCTTTTTTAATCAATCCACTACTTCTACAAACTTTGTGCCATGATAGCCACTTWTACATCAACATAATCAGTTCATTTGAGAGAAGAGAT